TAACTCCATGTTCCCTACAATAATCAATAAAGTTAGCATTATCAAATTCAGCTTGTGGGTGAGCTGGTTCTCCACTTGTTTCACCAATGTTACCCATTCTTCAAACGTTTCATCCTTTGTGTGTAACATCATTACCCAAGTGTACCTAGAATAATTATCAACCATAACACAGACATATCTATAGCCTCTTCGACTTTGTACTCTCATGGGTCCACATAAATCAATGTGTACAAGTTCGAAGGGCCTGCTGGTACCCAAAACATTTTTAGGCTTAAAAGAGATTTTAACCTGTTTCCCCCTTACACATTCAGAGCACACTTTATCTGCTTCGTATTTAATGTTAGGAAGACCTACCACCAAATTACGTGCTTTAAGCTTGTTTAGAAGTGTTAGGCTAGCATGTCCAAATCTCTTATGCCAAATCCATTGATTATTATCAGAAACAGCTATCAAACAGATGGACTTGTCTTGAGGGATGCTATCTAGGAAGGTAATGTAAACATCATGTTTCCTAGTTCCCTCACATATAAGTTCTTCTGTTTGTGAGTTAACTATGCGACATAGGTTGGCTTGAAACTCAACTCTATTACCTTTGTCACATAATTGAGAAATGCTCAAAAGATTATGTTGCAAGCCTTCAACATAATAAACATCATCTATTGCGTTAGAAAGTGTCTTACCAACCTTACCTAAACCAGTGATGGTTCCCTTGCTGTTATCCCCAAAGGTGACACTTCCTCCATCAAAGGCCACTAGTGAAAGGAATTGATCTTTATCCCCGGACATGTGTCTTGAGCAACCACTGTCCAAATACCAATAGGTGTCTCCCTTCACTCTAGCCTGCAAGAGCAAATCAAACATTAGATTTAGGAACCCAAACATACTTGGGTCCCTTTTCAACAATATTAACAACTTGTTGATCCTTTCTTCTCCAAACACACTTTGCACCCTTGCTGTTCTTATTAGCACTAATTTTCTTAGCTGGACATTCATGTATCTTATGTCCATTTTTACCACAATGAAAACACACATGCATCTCTTTAGTCATGACATACTTGCCTCGTTGATATTCTTTGATCCAGGTGGTTTCTCTGGGAGACCAGTTAGTCCTGGTTCTCTGTCTAGTATAACCAAGACCAACTTTTCCTCTGTTTCCTCTTGATGAAGTCAGGTAATTTAAGGATTCTTGAGCATTCAATAATTTGTCCACATGTCTATGACTATCATTAAGTTCTTTTTCTCTGGTTTCAAGTGTTTTAGTTAACAATTCGTTTTTCTCTTTAAGAAAATCAAAGTTACTTTTTAAAGCTTCGAATTGTAGATTAAGCTTTGAAACCATAGAGTCAATAGACATGTCAACAACCACTGGTTGCTTGTCCTTTTTCAGTTGATTGATTTCCGCATGCAAATCACAAATATTACTTTCATACTTATCAATCGTATTACTGACATCTACACTGGTACCTGTAGGGGAAACAGTGAACTGTGCAGCTTTAAGTGAAGCAATTTCCTTGTGAGAGTTTTCCAGGTTGTAAGCCAATGTTTCAAAGGCCTTCAACAAGGAAGTTCTAGTACACGAATTTGCTTTACTTATAGCTACTGAAAAATCAAGAGTATCACTAGTGGTTGATAAGTCTCTAGGGAACCAGGAGGTCAGATCCTCTTCACCATCAATTGGTTCAAACGATCTTTCCTTTTCTAGTTCCACTTTACACTTGTCCAATTCAACCTCTAGTTCTGCTACTTGATTTTTTAGTTCATAACAGACTCCTTCTAGATGATCACAACTAGCAATAGCAATATTACATTCACCACGTTTTTCTTTTAATTCTCTTTTGCAAGTTATGTATGTTTCACTTAGTTTATAGCATTCATCTAGTAAGGAATCAATACAAGCAAGCATATTTTCTCTATCATATTCATGCATATCTTCTCTAATTTGCTTTAAGCTTACCTTGCGTTCATGTAGTACATCCTTCTTTGCCATAAAGCATTTGTTGAATGTACTGGTTCCCCCTCTGGTTCCTGGACCAGTGCTGTTTTCCTTGATGTTTGTAAAGGCAGTTAGGCAAACATCTGAGTTGGGTGATCCTTCTTCTTCATCTGACCCTGAGTCAGAGTCTCCCCACATGGAAGCTATCATGGCATTCTTGTATGCTTGTTTATCTCCGGATTTAGACTGTTTGTCATTCCACTTAGGACAATCTCGAATAAGATGTCCTTTTTCTCCACACTTGAAACATCCTGTAGAAGAAGAATTAGAGTTAGATTTTTTATAGTTTTTAAAATGCTTACCTTTGAAATTCTTTCTTTGATCTCGAAGAGATCTCTCAAATCTTTTTGCAATCATGCTAATTTCATCTTCATCATCTTCTACTGTTCCCTTAAGCGCCATGCCTCTTGCTGGTTCCTTCTCAGACTTAGAGTCAATCAGCATCTCATGAGTCATAAGGGAACCAATCAGCTGTTCCAGAGACAAGGTAGACAGGTCCTTTGCTTCATATACTGCTGTTACCTTGGCTGTCCATGCATCTGTTAAACTACGCAATAATTTTCTCACAAGATCCTCGTCAGATAAATTTTTACCAAGAGATCTAAGATCATTTACAATAGTCATAAACCTACGAAAGCAATCATTGATTTTTTCATTTTTATTCATGGCAAACAATTCATATTTAGACATGATTAAATCAATTTTAGACCGTTTTACCTCACTGGTTCCCTCAAACGCAAGTTCAAGGGTGTCCCATATCTCCTTAGCACTACTGCAGCCAGATATACGATTTGTTTCGGTCTCACCTATTGCTTGTTGTAGTATTGACATTGCCTTAGCATTCTTCTCCAGCAACTTGTAATCAGCAGTGACCAATTCGCTATCTTTCTTGGGAACCTGGTTCCCCTCAACATCTGTCTTGAGAATGATATTTGGACCATTTTTAACTACGAGCCAGCATTCATAATCAATACCCATGATAACATTTTGGATCCTGTTCTTCCACCAAGCATAATTATTTCCATTAAACTTGGGTGACTTGTTGTCATAACCGATTGCACTTAATTCTTGAGTACTCATTCTTAACTCCTCTAGATGTTACTCTTTCGAGAAGCTTAGGCTCTGATACCAATTGAAGGTTCAATGGGCACTCAAGAGGGGGGGGGGGTGAATTGAGTGTTAAGTAATCGTTGGCTAATTTTGCTTCTTTTCGGATTATGTGTGAGGAACCAGTTGTGCTGGTTCCCGTACGCAGCGGAATATAAATAAGCAATAAAGAAGACAACAAATTTAACGAGGTTCAGCCAACTCAGGCCTACGTCCTCCTATCCTAAGTTCTTTATTAATCTACTCCGAAAAACAAAGACAAAGAACACTCTGCTGTTTCCCTACTCCGGGAACCAGCAAACCCCACACTCTACTCCGAGTGTGCTCTCGACTTACACTCGTAAGCCCAATGTGTTTGAACTCACAAACACTCACCCAGCCTTTAACCCCTTTGTTAAAGACTCAATACAAGAATCAAGAACTCTCCTTTGATCTCACTTCTACGAAGCTAATTAAGAGAAAAAGTTTAAGTACTAGAATGCTCTTGTATATAACTTGATGAATGGGATTAGTGCTTAAGTATATGCTCTCAAATAATTGCTCTTTTTAATTTCTGGAGAGGCACACGAAATATGTGAAATAAGATGAGTTTATATAAGCTTAGATTCCTAAAACCTAGTTTCCTTAAATCACACAATCTTAGAGAATAAGATATATTGTAATTTTAGGAAAGTATTTATCTTATTTGATTTAATCACAAAGATAGAATCAATTAAGATAAATACTCCTAGTTTTTAGGTAACCAAGAATATTTCATCTTATTTCCAGCTGCACAAAATATTTTCAAAATAATCTTTTCGAAAAAATCTTTTTGTAAAATCTTTTTCCAAAACGGCAGCTCGAATATTTCGTACAGTGAACCTGGTTCCCCGACCTGGTTCCCTGAATTGAAACATGTTATGAAACCTGTTCCAACTTTGTACCAGATTTCATATCATACTTCAATATACTTTTAAGCACTTATATAACCCAAACATGCAAGCATACTACGGAGCATATTACATGAAAACCTAGATAACATATTAAAGCATAAATCGTCTTTTCTTCATGTAATCTTCAAGACTTGAATCTTCCTTGAATACTTCTATTATGAGCAAACAATCTTTCTTCGAAATATCTTCGAAAGGCTTCTATGCTCCAAGTCTTGGAATCAACTCAACTACTGCACATGTAACATGGTTAATGCACAATAAAGAGTATGTGACTGCTTTTCCGCATAGCAGTCAAGGAAACGGTTCATACTGGTTCCCCACCAGTACATAGCACATTTATCATCTAACTGTTTCCTGTATATAGATAAGTTAGTTCAATAGATAACTCATATAGTCAATAACTTATCTAGGGAAACAGTGTTCTATTATAGCTGGTTCCAACCAACTGTTTTCAACACTTATTAAAACCTATTTCCCATAGCTGTTTGTCATCATTCAAAACCATCATTCAAAACCTAAGGGACTCAACAAACGCCTTTCAGAGTATCCATTATGTTAAGTGGGTGACTCCATTGGTGGCTAGGTAAGGAGAGAGCTTTCTATATTTAGCACTGTTATCGAAAATATAGTGTAATTACGAGTTTGTTGAAGTACTTTACAACCAAAGCCTTGAATCAAATGAAAACATTTTCAGTTTCAGATTTATACTTCAAGGGATAAAGCCACACATACTTTGAGGGGTAAGTTTTGTATGCTAGCCACACGCTGTGACCACATAAGTTTATAAGAGTAATCTTCATTTATATGTGTTAGATATTCGAAAAAAATCCTCAATCTGGAGTGTGTACCATTGATCACTTTATATAATGTTTACAAGCCTAATCCTATTCACGTTAAGAATCTAATAAGATAAACATACAAAATATATACAAATATATCCGACAAATATTATCTAAAAATAATATCTATCACACCCCCACAGTCGAAGCGGGAGGAGGTCGTACGCAGAGACTGGATCTGAAGTCTAAGAATAGCTCCCTTGATAGGCCCTTAGTGAAGACGTCTGCAAACTGATATCGTGATGGAACATGAAGGACCCGTACCTCACCCAACACAACCGTTTCCCGAACAAAGTAGATGTCCAATTCCACAAGTTTGGTGCGTTGGTGATGAACCGGGTTACTAGAGAGATAGATTGCACTGACATTATCACAGTAAACGATAGTAGCCTGTCGGAGGGGACAATGAAGCTCCAATAATAAATTACGAAGCCAACATGCTTCAGAAACCACGTTTGCAACGCCTCGATACTCCGCCTCTACACTTGATTTAGACAAAGTAGGTTGACGCTTTGCTGACCAAGAAACGAGGTTGTCCTCGAGAAAACAACAGTAACCCGATGTGGAACGACGGGTGTCAGGACAACCTCCCCAGTCAGCGTCAGTATAAGTAATCAAGCAAGTAGGAGCAGAAGGATATAAATGTAAACCGTGATCAATTGTACCCTGAATATAGCGCAGAATGCGTTTTAACGCATCAAAATGCGGCTCCCTAGGATCATGCATAAATAAACACAACTGTTGTACCGCATAAGCAATATCTGGACGAGTAAAAGTAAGATATTGAAGTGCACCTGCAAGGCTGCGATACAGAGTAGGATCCCGGAATGGAGAACCCGTATTAGCACTAAGTTTGGACTTAGTGTCGACAGGAGTGGCGGCAGGTTTACAAGAACTCATACCTGCATGCTCTAATATTTCCTGTGCATATTTTTGCTGAGACAATAACATAAAAGAGGGTGTGCGAGTAACTGCAATTCCCAAAAAATAACTCAGTGGCCCTAGGTCCGACATGGGAAATTCTGTCTGTAAGCTAGAAATAATTCCCGTGTGCAACCTGTCATAAGAAGTGATTAGAATAATATCATCAACATAAAGCAGTAAATATGCTAAGTCGTTCCCTTGCTTAAACGTGAAAAGAGAAGTGTCACTCTTAGCAATGACGAATCCCAACTTGATCAAAAAATTTGCAAAATGTTGATACCAAGCCCATGGGGCTTGTTTCAAACCATATAGAGCCTTGCGAAGACGGAAGACATATTCGGGCTTTCTCCGATCATAGAAACCCGGAGGTTGATGCATATAAACTGTTTCCTGTAAGTCACCATGCAGAAAAGCATTTTTAACATCTAGCTGATGTATGGACCACCTTTTAGCCATAGCTAAGCTGAGTACTGTGCGAATAGTTGCCGGTTTGACTACCGGACTGAATGTCTCATCACAATCAACTCCAATTTCCTACGACCTGCCATCACAAACAAGACGAGCTTTGTGCCTTTCAAGGTCACCAATAGACTTGTATTTATGCTTCAAAAGCCACATACAATTAACAACATTCACCCCCATAGGTCTAGGTACCAAATCCCAAGTTCCCGTTTTAATTAAAGCACTGTATTCATCTAACATTGCAGTATTCCAATTATGGTCTTGGAGGGCATGTTTGTGATTTTTTGGTAAAGGGGATTTATGCTCAATGGACAAGTGGGCATATTTTGGGTTTGGTTTGATAATGCCATGACAGGATCTTATCTGCATTTGAGGAGATGTGAGATTGTTGGGTCGAGTGAGGATAGAAGATTGGCGGGTTGGTAGAGTGCAGTGAGGTGGGCTAGGTGCAGTAGGGGGCGAACTGGGCCCTGGCTAAAGTGAGCCCAGACGCGGGGAGGAGGAGAGTCCAGCGCCCGAGTGACTGGTCGCTGGATCTGGGCTGACGGGGTCTACTGGGCCCACTTGGTTTCCAGCGGACGAGGGAGAGGGCGGCCCAGCGTGAGTAGGGGTAGGATGATGGTTTTGGGCTTGATTTTGTGAAGTGGGCTGCTGCAATAAAAAATGAGTTAGAAGCGGGGAGCTGTCATCACAACCCCAAAAATCATAATCCTTCAAATTAAATATTTCAATGTCTTTAAAGGGAAAAGTAGACTCATCGAAGGTTACGTGTCTTGAAATAATAACTTTTCGGGTTACAAGATCTTAGCCACGATGGTTAGAAGGGTACCCTAAAAAGACACAAGGAGTTGACCTAGGAGCAAGTTTATGAGGAGCTGTAGCTGAAAGGTTAGGAAAACATAAACAACCAAAAACCCGTAAATGATCATAAGATGGGTTTCTATGATACAAAGATTGAGCCGGGGTCATATGCTTGAGAGATTTAGATGGCAAAATATTTAAAAGATAAATGGTCGTCTCTAATGCATGTGACCAATAAGTCGGGGGTAAGGAAGCATGAAATAATATAGTGCGTTTGACATTATTAATGGTTCTAATCATTCGTTCAGCTTCTTCATTTTGAGATGAGGTGTGTGGACAAGAAAATCTAAAAACCATTCCATTATCAAGGCAAAATTGTTTGAACGGATCATTGTCGAATTCACGACCATGGTCACTTTGAAAGCATTTAACAGGGCATTCAAATTGGGTTTGCACAAATTGACGAAAATGTAAAAAAGATTGGAACGCTTGAGATTTGTAAGCAAGGGGAATAGCCCAAACGTAATGTGTAAAATCATCAAGAAGAACTAGACATTATTTATGACCATTAATACTCCTAATCGGAGATGTCCACAAATCAGCATGAATAATGTCAAAAGCGGCTATTGTATTATTAATTGAATCATTAAACGGAAGTCTAACATGTTTTCCTAATTGACAAGAAATGCAAAAAGAGGGGTCGTGCTCCTTATTACAAGAAATTAAATTATTGCTCCTAAGAAATTTGTAAAGAGGAAGCCTCGGGATGTCCTAAACGATCATGCCACGGGGTGACAGCAGTGAGAGAAGTGGCTAGGCAGGTGCTTGGAGTTGGATGGGTGATTGGATAGAGGTCCCCGGTACTATTGCAAATCGTTATTACCCTCCCCGTACAAAGATCCTTCACTGAAAAACCATTAGGGTCAAATTCAATAACACAGAATTATCAGAAGTAAATTTACGGACAAAAATTAAATTTTTAATAATTTGTGGTGCAAGGAGAACATTGTTAGGTCTAAGGTTTTTTTTTTTTTTTTTTGTGAGGGAGGTATGACCATAACCAATAATTGGAATACGATGTCCATTTCCTACTAAAATGTGATTTTTAGTGCTTAAATTAAAAAGAGGAAGAAGAGTACCGGGATTGTTTGTCATGTGAGACGTTGCACCCGAGTCCATGTACCATCCACTTTCCGGAGTTGAAAGACCCATAGACGAATATGCACTGCCAAGATCAGTTGGGGTCATCGGTGGGCCGTACGAAGCTGAGCCTATTGAGTAGGCCTACTGAGGGGGCCTGGTAAGGATGGGCCTGGGCTGGTATTGTCCAGATGTGGGAAATGGGGCTGGAGGGACGACCCAAGTCTGCTGCCATGCTTGTGGCTGATTGGGCCACTGCTGCTGCTGTTGGGCCCATTGAGGTTGCCCAATAGGATTGGGCTGGGATGGCCATTGTTGTTGTTCGGCATGCCGTTGCTATTGCGGGTTGGCAGGGGCACCACGGCCTGGTCCACCGTGACCATGACCTTTGACACGCCCCTTTCCTCCGCCACCACGACCTTTGCCGGAGGTGGTGCTCCCCTGGCCGGCGGACAGTTGTTGCGGCTGCTGCTGTGAGGTGTCCGCCTGCTGTCCCGATTGTTGCTGGACAACGAACGATGAAGGCAGAGGTGCAGAGTCGGAATTCCGTCGGGTTTCTTCTAAGAGAAGCCGAGACCTGGCGATATTGAACGATGGCAGAGGTACTGACTGAGCGATCATGGTGGCTACTGTGTCGTAATCAGTTTTGTTCAACCCCGCAACCAATCGAAGAACCAATTTTTTATCAGAAACGGGTTGATCGACGTTGGCTAATTGATCAGCGATGCTTTTTAACTATTGACAGAATGCAGTAACATTGGCAAAGTTATCAAGATGAAGAGTATTAAATTGATTCTCGAGGTAAACCGCCCTTGTACTCTTGTTATCTTGAAAAATATCTTTAATACGGTCCCAAATTTGCTGAGCAGTAGCCTTCCTAGTTAACACAGTATTGATAAGATCAACAGAAATCATTCCATAAATCCCGTGCTTAACGATTGCATCTAGACGAGTCCAAAGAGCATCGGAGATGTCAGTGGGTTTCTTAATCTTGGGGTCGATGTGGTCAAGAACGTTATAAGCACAAGCATGATTCTCAAACAACTCGACCCAAGTGAAATAATGGACGTTTGTGTAGTCAAGGGTAATCGGGATCGCATTCTTGATATAATTGACGACGAGGGTCGGGTGAAATTCATTCACTGTTGGAGGTGGCGGAGGAGGAGGTGAGGATTCGCCATCATTAGTCATAGGCTCAAGCTAGATTAAAGAGACAGTGAAGAAGAACAGAGGGCGGTAGTAAGGTGTAGCGGAAGCAAAAAAATAAAAAAATAGGAACGAAACCTAAAGCTGTGATACCATGTTAGATATTCGGGAAAACTCCTCAATCTGGAGTGTGTACCATTGATCACTTTATATAATGTTTACAAGCCTAACCCTAATCACGTTAGGAATCTAATAAGATAGACATACAAAATATATACAAATATATCCGACAAATATTATCTAACCTCAATTTTTCATAAGAGTAACCTCATGTTGTTCGTAAAAGTAATTCAAATTCATTATACGAGTAAATTTAACTAATTTGGAAATAAGTAACTTCATTTGTTCATTCGAGTAACTCCTATTCTTTTGTTTTAAAAAAGAGAAAATTGTGAAAAAAGACCTTTAAGTGGTCGACTTTTTGAAAAAGGACCTTTTAAGTGAAAACTTGTGAAAAAAGACCTTTTAAGTTGCATTTTGTTTGTATGGGGTACTTGTGTGAGCTTGCGTGGTGGGCAATGCCGGAGCTCCGGCGTTGACTATCACGTGACTTTTTTTTAGGTCGGGAAAGGACGAAAATTTGTGGATTTTTTTTTTTACACCACCCTCTTATTTCAATACTGAAAAACAATTAATCTATTGGTAAGGAAAGAACCTTCCAACCAAGAAATTGGGTTTCAATCCACACTAAAGACAATTTAAGGCATGAGATCCCCTTACCCCCAACTCTCAAAGTGTCTAGTCTACTAAATCGGGCTGAGTTAACTTGTAAACATTTATATTGGTGTGATAATGAAATGATATTTTTTTCCCTACTTTTTGATATTTACTTTAAAATTTAAAATTTAAAGTTGAAATGTTGAAATGGTATGTAAATTTACATGTGTTATTTAAAGAACATTAAAGTAGTTCTTATTTTTAATTTTTAATTTTTAATTTATATGTAAATTAACATGTAAATTCAACATGGAATAAAATAATTCAATTAATATTCATTTTAACATTTCAATATCATTAAGTAAGTAGTCTTTCCCTCTTCCCCTATGATCAAATATTGAAAGAACAGAGGGCGTATGATTTTATATTTCAAATAGAGTGATAATTATTTCATCATTCATTTTTTATAACTTGATGTATCAGAATAGATATGAAAGTTTCAACTTTAAAAAAGAAATTTTATGAAGCAAAAACCAAGCTTTGCATCACTAATGACGACGATGATGACACGAACAACATCGTAACAATGGAGGTATATATGTAAATATATCATCAATTTTCTATACTGCTTTCATCTCAGTTTAATTTGTTTTTATTTTTCTTTTCAATTTAGCATAGAAGTTAAGGACTCGCATAATCTCTAATTCAATTTAGAATTCTTTGCATGAAAAAAAAAAAACAGTTGTATTCTTAAGCACACCATATAATGAATTAATAATACATAAATGATAAGCAGCTATTTAGAGATTGAGGTGGTACCATAAAGTTTACATGTCTTACTAAAACAACTTAGCTTTTTATTAAATAAATTCACACCAGCATTAAACTATTGTGTAAGTAATTTATATGACAAGAGTGCCTCTATCATAAGACAAATTAAAGGGGGTTTGTCCTTAACATGAAGTATCCATATTACCCCTTATCAATTAAGAGTTTAATTGTTATAAATAGTGAATAGTCTGAAAAAAAAAATGGTTGTAAAGACAGTAAGAATCAATGTCATAAATTAACCCTAAATCAATCAAGTTTAATTTCATCACAATCATTATAGAAGCAAATATCAAAAACAAAAATATGCCCAAAATAAATATATATCGAACATTAAAAGCATAATTAGGGTTTGTTCTCAT